GAAAGAGAGAGTCAGAGAAACACAGACAGAGTTTGCAGGAGCAGGTGTGGAGGAAAAAAGGGCAATTCTTGTTGGTTGCTTTTCCCCAGCTATTTTGGGGGACTCGGGATCAAACCCAGATCAACAAATCTGTATTCAAAACCCTCCCCCATAAGCCTTCTCACCTGCTCATAATTGTGTGGTTCTTTCAGGCTGCCGGTCAGTCGCTGAGATCAGTCCAGACCTTATTCAGTTCTCCAGATTATAAGGGCCTGCTGAGACTGCCTCCAGAAGATGTGGTGTGCAATCCTGTTCTTCTTGGGCCCCATCCTATCTAGTGGTTTGAGCCCTGTAGCCTCAAAATTAGAGAGGGATGGAGAAAAGATATCTAACAGATCCCACAGTGTGCATTTGGATGAAGGAATAACACCTAATGTTCTACAGGATAACTGTAGTGGACAACAATTAATTGACTATGTCAAACAGCCATGGTCCAGCAAGAAATACAATGGTCCTGTCTGATATGACATACCAGTTATCTTTATCTGATGATTTTATACATTATACGTCATTGAAATGTTATACTGTACCATAAATATTTGCAATTACTCTGTACCAATTAAAATAATGATATGTGTTTAAAAAGAAATGGGAACAGGTTACCCTAATGTAGCTTTTCTCATTCCCTTCTGGAAGAAACACTGGAAAATTTTAAAACGTTAAGCATTATAGTCAAAGTCTAAAACACAAAACAACAGAGAGCTAATGAATTTTTGAATTATTCAAGGTCTAACACAGGATGTTACAGGAAGTTTTGATCTATTGCCTAATGTCCATTGTTGACAATAGTTGACCTTCCAAAAGAATATCAAAAGGAAGAGTTTGAAACTCGTTTTCAAGAATCTATGACTAAAATAAAATTAATAATCACAGTCTTTCACCAATACATGAAAAAGAAGATATCTTTATTCTGCTCATATTCATTTATTCAAATAAATGTAAGACTTTTCAATAGTTTATAGAGTTAAAGTAAATGTAAAAATTAAAGTCTAAGAAAATTTCTGCTACCCAGAAGTCTCCAAGAAAGCAGTTTCATATAAACTTAAACATGAAACACCAGCCTAACCCATTTCCAGGGGAATTTGGCCACACTTGGATGGACTTTGTTGTTCTTTGGCATGTTCTACAGCCTCTGAACTGCTTTGATCGCTCTGTAGATCCATGTTTCTGTATCACAGAATTCCGTGTCAGGCACCATGTTTTTCCATATCCCCCCATTTATACACCGATAGCTTTATTCCCACCATTCTCATCACGTTAGAAACAAAATGTGAATGCCTAGGTACTCATTGGCCTCTGTGATTGTCACAGTTAGCTTCAGCTGTCAACTTGGCATGCACGAACCTAAAATCACTTGAGAAGAGGGAACCCTAGTGGAAGAACGCCCTTCCTCAGACTGGCCTACAGCTGGGTCTTGGAAAAATTCTCTCAACTACTAATTGACAGAGGGCCTGGACTACTGGGTACAGAGCAATCCCTGGGCAGGTGGACCTGGGATACATGACTAACTGACCAAGCCAGAGGTGAACCTTTACTCACTGTCATCCTTACAGCTTGACTTGTTCCTGTTCCCCTTCACTGATGGCTATGCTTTGAAATTCCTCCAACTTCCTTGGTAGAAGCCACACCTACGCAATAACTTCAAACTGGCACAACACAGGGCATCTCTTCGGCTTTAAACTCAGCAGATGAGGTTTGATTGAACTGTTATAGATTTGTTTGTTTCAAGAGTGAAACAAACCACAACAGCCCAAGGTATACTGGGAAAGAAGGTAGTTAGACTATTTTGTTTAAAAGTATACGTTCTCCCTGAATACATTTCTTGAGTGATAGCTCTGCCTTTTCTGGATCTTGAACCTAAGGTAACAGTCAAGCTGCCTTTTGTTCTAGGCTCCAACAGATAGATGTGCAATTCTAAAGGAAGAAACCAAGGCTGGTACATAAAGATAACACCAACTGAGTGTTCATTGCTGCTCAAAATCATGCACGTAAGCTTGCACACTGATCTAGAGAGTAATCGTTTCATTTGGGAAAGACACAGACAACCATACTAATTTAGGCAGTTAAAAGCATCAGAGTTGGGCTGAAGAAATGACTTATACATTAAAGGCTAGGCTCTCAACCCAAAATACATGAGTATCAGAGTCCTTTAATTTTGACCAGTGACCAAGAAGAGGCAATTGGCTCAAAGTCTCTTGACACTGAAGCTCAGGGGTACAGCATGTTTAAAAGCAAATTTCACAATCACATCAATGTTATATGAGGGACAGAGGAAGCTTGCAGAACATTTGTTTAGTCATGACATAATACTTATTTTGGACATAACATGGCAATTTTTTTCAACTAAAATCATTTTTGATTGTTTTTAAACAGGAATTATTTTGATGAACACATCTGAGCTGTGTTTATGGCTATAGAAATCTCAAAGTGTTGCCAAGGCAGACAGGATTGTTGTGGGGCAGATGGCTGAGACGTTTTGAAGCAGGTACAAAATGAAGTCAGGACAAGACAGCATTGCCTTAGTCACTTCAAAATAAGTGCTTATTAAATCTCAGAAAGAAATGTCACGGAACTTAAAAGTGTCCTGTTTTACCATATGACCGTGTCTAATGTAGACAGAAGACAGAAGACAAAAGCTGGTGCTTCCAATGGAGGTATGGAGACAGAAAAGAGTCACGTGCTCAACACCATGCATATTAAGGAATTACAAATTTAAACAACAGGACACCACTGTATAGCTCCTGGGATATGTCAAAGTCCAACCAACACCAAATGTTAGCAAGGATATACATTACCAATGAGCATAAAAACAGTATAGAGACTTTGTAAGACAGTTTGTGAGTTTGCCTCAAAACTAAACACCTTCACTGGATAAACTGCCAACTGTGAGTTATGGTGTTTACCCAGATGTGTTTACATCTGTGGTCACATCCATAGAACATAACCGCATGGGCGTCTTTACAGGAACTCCATTCACAATTGCCCAAACTTGGTGGGCAGATCTTCTGCCATGATGTTCTTCAGTAGTTTTTAAATAGATGTGGGACACCCAGACATTATTCATTTCCTAGGGGGAAATGCTACCAAACCATGAAAATACACAGAGGAACAGTTAAAGATCTGTCAGTATGTGAATGAAACCTTCCATTAACAGTTGCATATTGTAAGATTCTAAACATATGACATTGTGGAAGAAACAAAATCATGGAGACAGAGGTTCACTGACGTAACAAATGCATTCTTTCAGTTCAGGATACCAGTGGATGGGGGCTGTGCATTTATGTGCTTTGTAGCGTGTGCTTCCTGCTCAGTTTTGCTCTGTAATTCAAATAGTTCTTTTGAATAATCTATGTAAATATTAATTCCCACTGGGGGAATGTAGCTCAGTGGTAGAGCATTTGATCATTATGGATGAGCTTTTGGGGTCAATCCCAAATAACAGAGGAAAATGGGTAACACATCTATGTAGGGCATGAAAATAAATACTAAATATATTAGGGTTCTGTGTCAAGATTTTTTATGGACAAAAAGGGTCATATGAACCTTGATATTCTAAAACAAATTGGTTTTATGTACGTGTATGTGTGAGTGACTGCATGCATGAATGTTTACATGTGTGTATGCATTTGTGTGTGTATGCATTTGTGTGTGTGTATGCATTTGTGTGTGTGTGTGTGTGTGTGTGTGTGTGTTGCATCTAGAAGCCAGGAAGGGTCTTTGTTGGATGCCCTAGAGCTGAAGTTATTGACAGTTGTGAGTGACCATATGGGCGTTGAGGACTAACCACAAATTTTCTGCAAGAACAGTAAGTGCTCTGAAACACAGAGCCACTTCTTCTGTCCTTCTTGGATTGATCTTAACAATCCACTCCTTAATTTATTTATTTATTTATTTATTTATTTATTTATTTATTTATTTATTTATTTACTTTTTGGTAGTCTCATTAGGTCAAGTGGGCAAACAATTAAATGATTTTTTTTTTTGGTCAAAGGCAACTTGTTTCAATTTAGAGTTCCACAGATAGACTGTCTTCTCATATCCTCATCAATACTTAATCACTTCAACTACTTCAATATTTGCAAAACTAGCTGTGGTTCTTGAGAACTTAATTTGAACTAAATTCAGTGAATTCTTAATGTACATATGCTTAATGTAACTCAAAAGAAATCCCCAAGAAGAGAAGGTAAATGGCTGGGAGACATGACAATTTACCTTCTTTTCAAAAGAGTGGAATTAAAAGAAATAGAATATTGACGTGAAGTGATCATACAGTGAGGTTATTTTTTTTTGTTTTTTGTTTTGTTTTTAATTTCTTGTGATGTGCAATTCAAGGTTATTTATAATTACTTAATAGTAAGAATATGAGAAAATCACCTAAACTATCAACAAAAACAAAACTTTATTTGTAGTATATTTGTATATAGGCATGTCACAAAGACATCATATTTTCAAACATACCAAGACCACAAGAAACCACTTTTCAGCGTAGCCATATCCCATAAGCAGGATATAATGCTACATCTGCCATTATGTCAATGTAGCACACACATACAATACAGGTGCCCATGTACAAGTCTACAAAATCATGCAAGAGGTGAGACAGAGGCACATCCAGGTGTGAACAATACTATCTTGTAATTTGCTTGTATATTTTGTGTGTGTTTTTCTTGTTTCTGAAATGTTCTCAATAACAAGAACAAAGGGCTGAAACATGCTTCAAGCTGAGTAAACCTTTAAAATGACAGTACATGAAAGAAGTCAGCAAAATAATCAAGTTTGTCTAAATCCCTTTATATGAAATGTCCAAACAGAGACAACTACAGAGACAACATATCCCCAGAGTTAGGAATGGAAACGGAGAGCAAGTAGCAATTACTAATGTCTGTGTGGCTTTTTCACGAGTGAGAAATATTCTAATTTATACAGTGATGATAGTTTTACTACAGTAGATGAGCTAAAAATAATTAAATTTTGTACTTTTAATTATGGCCCATTCAGACAATAAACTATGTCAATAAATTTACCTAAAGAAAATGCAATATAAGCTTTGTAAACAATATGCTGAGAATAATATTTTTGAAAGATTTTATTTCACTTGAAAATTTCGAACTGTGTGTGTGTACATGTGTCTACACACATGAGTGCAAGCGCCCACAGAGGCTGGAGGAGAGTGTGGGAGTCTCCGGACCTGGGTTTACAGGTGGTTGTGTGTCATGAGGCATAGGTGTTTGGAAACAAGCTCTGCAAGAGTAGTACAGAACTCCCTTAACCAGCAAGCCATAGACCTAGTCCCTGAAAACATTTTGAAAGATGGAGGAGTAAAGTAAACTGTAAAAAGATCAAAGCTAGATCCAGGGGGAGAATCTGACTGTACATATTATCCTAGCCTTGAACAGGCCCAGAGTAGATGGGTCTTTGGGGAGCAAAATATAGAGATTCTCTTGGAGATTTTCCTGCCCTGATATGAGAGCATTTACTCATAAGGAAGAGCTGTAACCTGAAGCAAAAGTAATCATTTCCTGAAAATACCTTGTCTGATCAAGCAATGCACATTTCTTCAGCTACTTTGTGGAATTTGTATCTAAGATGATCATGGGGAGGACTCTGTCTTGACCATAATTAATACTAATTAGCTCTACATTCCTATTGTCCCCTGAAGTGGAAGTTTCTTTGAAGACTGTTGAGTCAAGTGATGTTTCGCTAAAAGCTGTCTTGTGAGAGGGCATGTGACATGTTGCTGGAGGCTGGCTTCTGAGAGGGCATATGACGTTTTGCTGTGAGCTTTCTCATGTGAGGGGCATGACTTTGGCCAGCTGGGAACATCCGTAGGTGAACCCTGAGGAGAGGAGACATATGGAAGTCCACGCACAGTGAGACACTGCTTTTTGAATGGACATCGCTGCACTGATCTTCGTGCTTCAATCCTTGACTTCACAGAGAGAAACGCTCCTGAGAGTGGCTCAAGGTAATCCAACAGTGTCTTGTGGCTTTTGCTGACTTGTCCCAATCTTATGAACAGTGCTGATTTGTGCTATGCTTGATGTTTGCCTTTGAGGTGGACTTCTGGGATCCTGATGACTGAGTGTGGTAAAGCTTTAATGACTCTATTTAGCAGAATGTAGATAAAGGAGGCCTACAGCTCCTTTCCTTACTAACTTCTACCTAAGGTTGTGGGGTTGGAAGGGAAGTAAAGGTGTTTAAGTACCCCAAATAAGGTAGTTTTGGTGACAAAGCTAAGTCTACAGTCCCCTACCCCAATTCTTCCTCTGCTTAAATCCACTTTTAATGTCAGTACCCCAAAGACTTGGATCCCTTTGTGAACTGAAGTTCTCAGAAAGAAAAAGAAGGGTGGAGTGGGGAAAGAGACAGAGAAGCTATACTTTTGTTAAAGATTCTAGAGATCAAATGGTGAAACATCAAGATTTATAAAGAGTTAAAATGTTACCAGACCAGAGTCAAAATGTCATGGGCTGTTTTGGTTCCTTTGAAAATCTGCCATTTTGCAAATATGTATGAACTAAATCTGTGTGGTTATCTATCAGAAAAAGACCTTTGGAAAAAGTCACATGGAAACCTACAACTGTGGAAGCCATCAAACACACACACACACACACACACACACACACACACACGAGATAGAGACAGAGACAGACAGAGAGAGACTGGTGAAGGTGCAAAGAATAACACATTGCAAAATATCCAGCTCCAAGTAAAACAGATAAAATGCACCTCATCCTTCAAACTTTAGGCATAAGACTATTATGTAATTCAAATGTTGACTTCTGTACTCCCCATATCTGTTGCAAGCCTAGTTCTGAGAATCTCCTCTCTCAATGTTGTGTAAATACTGCTTCTCATCTGTCCCCTGATATCCCAATAAAACCTGTAATAGCCAATAGCTGAGCAGGGGAAAGAATAAGGCTCAACTTCCTCTTAGAAGTTAAAGGAGGAAGTAAAGGATACATCCATGGGCAGCCGTCCAGGAGAGATCAGAAGAGATCCAGCTGAGCAGAAAAAGCCACAAAGTGCAAGCATTTCTGAAATTTATGTTGGGAGGAAGACAGATTAGCTTAGAGGTATAAGAATAGGCTAATAACTGCTCAGTTATTTGCTTTGAAGCTTGTTAAACAAATACTACAAGAATCTCAATTATGGGGGTGATAGCTGGGTTAAAAGATAAACTGAGAAACTAGCACAATCTTATAAAAATAACTTTAACACCAAAAATCTCAACATTCACTGCAGAAAATGGGGAAGAAGTGCAAAAGCCAGAGGCTGTTGATAACAACAATAAAACAGAGTTCTGGACATAGCAAAGTAGCTACACACGCATATAGCTACAAACAGTGGTTGTGACGGCATGTACAAAACTTGTACAAGCACAAGACAGACCAAATCCCAGGCCGGAATTTGGATCTGAACACAAAAATCTCACCCTACCTGAAGAGTTATGGGCAACTGTTTTAACTGTTTGAAGAGGGAGGGACAATTTCCTCCAAGAGTATAGCACTTTGTGAGCCTACTGTGTTCCAGTGGAAGGCAACACTTTCAAGAAGATTTGAGCAGCACATTGGTCTCAATGGATTGAGGGAGAAAGGCAGAGGAGGGGAGGTGAAGAAAGAAGAGGAGGAGGAGCAGGAGGAAGAGGAAGAAGAGTAGGAGGAAATTGTTTTGTTTATGTTTGTTTTTTTGAGACATGGTTTCTCTGTGTAGCCTTGGCTGTGCTGGACTCACTTTGTAGAGCAGGCTGGCCTTGAACTCAGAGATCCACCTGCCTCTGCATCCCAAGTGCTGGGATTAAAGACATGTATCCACCCCTGCCTGGCTGGAAGTTGTTATGTGGGTAGGAAGAAGGGTAGACCTGAGAAAAATTTGGGGAAGGAGCAAGGGGCAGGAAGGGCATGAAGGGATGTGATATGATCACAAAATGTCATATAAAAGTCTCAAAGAATAAAAAAACATAAAAAATATTTTAAAGTATTTAATATGAATTTTATTTGGGTTATGCATGAATATTAAATGAACTATTTTAAAAAATATACCCTGCCTACAAGATGTGCATGGTTAAAAATAAAGCAGAGATTGAGGGAATGCCCAACCAATGCATGGTCCAACCTAAGACCCACCCCATGGGAGAGAGCCAACCTGTGACACTACTAATGGTACTCTGCTATGCTTGCAGACAGAGCCTCCACCTAGAAACCTATGGAAACACTTGTTGAGACTCAGAACCAAACACTGAGTGGAGCTCAGGGAGACTTATGGAGGAGTGGGGGCAAGGATAGAAGGGATGGGACAGTAGCTCTACAAGAAGACCAACAAAGCCAACTAAACAGGGCATAGGGATGTCTTTCTTGTGGAGACTGAAGCACCAACCAAGAACCATGCATGGGCTGCACCTAGGCCCCCTACGTGGATGTAGCAGATGGATAGATAGCTCAGACTTCATGTGAGTCTCGGACAGACCTGCTTTTTGTTACCTGCTTTTTATCACTACCC